GGGCAACTCCTACTGTTCGGAGTTTGCGCAAATAAAATAAAACTGCACAGAAACTGTACACAAAAGCTCATCTCTACCCGAAGTTTTCAGGTATCTTGCATGGTTGGTACATTTTGACAAATGAGAGTTGTTACGGCATGTCAGGCATGGTCTTTTGGTAGATCGTTTCGTCTTTGTGTGAAGGCTTCTCCCCGCAGTTCATCTGTACCCTGTCGCCAAGTCTGTCAACCAGATTCAAACGAGTTTTTGAAAACTATCGCTCCCCGAGAATGTCTACTTAGCTCGTCTTACTTCATTGGCAATTAAAAGTTATGACTAAGCCTCAGCATTACAAAGCTCAGTATTCCACAGACACATTTGACGTTGTTCCACGGTGCTGAACCGAGCCGATGGTCCCTCGAATTTTGTGCTCTTTTCATATTGAGGTATATGTTCACTTGTTTCCAAGTTCATTGAGACGTCTGAACAGCCGGAGAGCTCGAGAGTAGTGGCATCATTGTTCTTCCCGCAGTCGCAGTGGAACCACCGCGTGACCGCAGTGGGTTCACGAGCGAAGACGAAGCCGACGACAACGAAGCAGACGACAAAGCGATTCTAAAGCGATAAGACGACTGGAACCGTTTTTCTGCGCTTGATGACAAACTAAGGCATCACCAACGACACAATCTTATGAAGTACAGACATGCAGGAGAACCCAAGCTAATACCAGGGCTTCCCAAACAAACTGTGATGTACGCCCACATCAGCCCTATTCAGCCGGCAAGCCGGAGAGCGATGACTACAAGTAGCATAGCGGTGGCAATACTTCCGGAATGCGTGCGCCTGCGCAGTTCGCTTGGTGGCATCAGTCTATTTGCACAAGCCTACCATAATGAACCGGCCGTGTAGTGGGGCTTGATTTATTATATTTTCAGTATTAATAAAATAAAAACAAGTTTTGGTGTAACGTTGGTGCAAATTCTTCACATTTTGGCAAAATAATATTTGTTTTGTGAACACAAAATTGTTTCTCGAAATTTTCAGTATTGTGCCGATATTCAGATTTGAAAATAGTAGCTTTGAATACCGTAATACACTATTTGATATTCACTTCGAGATGAGCTGTGATATTCATATTTTCTGAACCACCAGTGCACTGCCGAGAAGCCACACCCACAAAGGCAAGCTCTGCAGGTATTGCTTCTCCATAGTGCACCGCCGCTCGCTAAGAAGCGTGCTCAACAAGGCTAACCCGCCGCAATCAAACACATCGTAAGTACAAATACTATCGCAGTTGTGTGCTTAGGAGAAAAGTACACTTTCAAAGTGGGATAGTGCACACACGCACCTGGTATATTTAGAAAGAAACGGAAACTTTGCATAATATCTACATTTTAAAATTAGACAAAGGAGGAGGATTTGGAGTTGCTTCTAGGACTACATACTTCAAAAAAGCAAGGGAGGCCATTGATAAAACCTTCAATGTATTGGTAGGGTTCAAGACTAAACCAGTAAAAGCCAAGGCCTCTCAATTATGTCACAATCTGGAATTTACATAATTACGGGAACAAATTTCCACCTCCAAAGAAAAACATTTAACCATGTTCTTCACAGCTAAGACACACAAAGAGGCCTGTCCTCTCCGTGTGGTAGTGACAGAAACGAGATCATGGCAGGGGGCCCTCTCACATTCTCATTACATCAATTATAGAATCTCTATCGTGATGACCTTGTACCGAATTCTGAGGCAGTAATTAAGTACATAAAGTATGATGCCTCAACGATAAAATTTGGAGTATCCCTTGATGTGAAAGATCTCTTTTATTTAATTCCACACGCCAAATTACTTTCAGCAGTAGACATCACGGGTGAATCATAACGGACCAAGGCACATCACAGCTGGCATACAATGTAAGAACTTTAGAGAAAAGTCAGTTGATAGCATAAAGGGTGCATTAAGCCTCCTCCCCTCACAATTACTTGGGTTACCAAAAGGGGCTCCTCGCAATCCAAGAGCATTTAGAATTCTATGCCCCACACATACCCACCAAAAAAGCAGAACCCACAGAAATCTTTTCATTAAAACATGCTCTTGACACACTGCACTCCCGAAGAAATTTAAACTTGTCTCTATCATTTTGGTGAATCCGAAGATCACGAGTGTATGTGGTGAGCGGCGCATCGAAAACCACCCAAAGCCAGGGGCGGATCAAGAGCTCCGTGTTGGAGGGGAGGGGAGGGGGGGGGGGGGGGATTTGTAAGGATGCTATTCTCCCACTCTTTTGTGTGCACCAGGGGGTCCACCCATGTCAAATTGCCCTCCGAGAATGGGGGAGGGGGGGGGTCGACTTGGTTTGGGGGGGGGGGGGGGGGGGGCTGCCCCCGTCGCTTCCCCTTGGATCCGCCACTGCCCAAAGCTCCTTGCAACTAAGTGTAGCAAATCATAACGCACGCATAATACATGCATGAGACATTCTGTACTCCCCAGGTTTATCAAAATAATCGAGGCAAGTTTCATTTATTTTAATTTAAATTGAAGATTAAAGGATAGTTGCAAATAGCAAGATTTATAAATCCTCTCAATTAGGTATACACTCCGTGCGACGCGACTGGCGCGCCGCCGCGCGGCCGGTACCGAAGGTGGGCAGTGAGTACCCCAGAGAAAACGAAACCGAAACCACGCCGCGTACGTTGGTACGCGTTGAAGTCGGAGTGGTGCTGTTGCGCTGGGTTCACAGCTTAATGACGCAGCCTGTGCTGCGTCATTAAGTACTTCAATAGTTATGCGTCGTATCTCGTGGAGACAAAGTTTCACAGTTTTTCACCTTGCCGATGTTTTGTGGGACAGCGACAACGATGGAGCCGTGCCATACGACGCGAGAAATTTGGTGTCCCGATCATGTCTGCCACTGTGTCGACACGGCTGACATATATAATCTACACTGCCGCTTTGCGCTCTGCGTTTGTTTTCGTACCAGTAACGCCTACATGTGTCAGCGCCGATGGGACGAACTGAAATGCCATCCCACACTCGTGGGTATGCAGTGCCAATTTCGTTGGAGGAATGCCCTCCAAAGAAGTTTCGTCCCCATCGTACGAGTCGATGATAATTCCGGACAAATATGGCACGCAATCTGTACTTCATGAAGAAAGATTCGAACGATAAAAAAAGTGACAAATATAAATCTAAAGAAAACAACCATGAAACTCGGAATCACTGGAGAATCGGCGTTTGAGTATGGAAGTTTATGTGGTGTGCTTTCTTTCTTGATCAGCCTCCTTTTGGATGTGGAAACACTGACACCCGGAGTTCTGTAGACAACAATTTTTTTTCTCGGCTTTAGAGCCACCTACCGCAAAGTGGTTCGAACTGGAAGTACCGTCCACTGGTCCCTTCCTACCTGTAAAGTGTGCACCTCCCACGACGAGTGGTATTTTCTGACAACATTTGACGGTCAAAGCCAGTTCCCATTTATATACGCCGCCCAAACTAAATTTCCACCTGGTTTCGCTATGCCAACTATTTTTGTTATAATAAGTGTTGTGCCAAGTGACGGTCATGTCAAAGTACCCGTGGGCCGAAAATCAGCACCTCGCACAACAGGTTATTACACAACAGCTGACCGCAAAAGTCCTTGGCGGCCAAACCGTGTGTTGGCCGACAACTTTGTTTTCTCGGCTTTGGAACCACCTTTCGTAAAGTTGTTTCAATGGGAAGTACAGTCCACTAGTCCCTTCCTACCTCTAAAGTCTCCACCTCCCCCGACCAGTGGTATTCTCTTGACAGCCTTTTCATGGTCAAAACCGGTTCCCATTGAGTTACGCCGCCCAAACCAAATTTTCACCTGGTTTCCCTATGCCACCTTTTTCTTGTATAATAAGTGCTGTGTCATGTTACTGTCAAGTCCAAGCACCTGTGTGCCCAAATCTGCACTTTGCACAGCCCGCTATAACACAACATTTTGGGTCTAATATTGGATATACCGTACAGCTTTATTTCTTTATTCGTTAGAAACAACTTTCACACCTGCCGTCTTAATGAAACTTGGCACACTTCGTGCAGAAACTTAGTGTACATCTCACTCGCCTCCAACATCATCGTTCCAGCAGTCCTACGTTTACAGCGACGAGCGAAATAAATTTCCCACTCAAAGCAATTATGGTAGTCCGTCTTGCTTTTCAGAAAATTGCTCCAACTCCTTTTTTGGCCGCAACTAGAGGAATTCCCCCGAATAACGACTAAAACTCAATATATAAGAAGAGGAGAACAGCTAAATGCCCTTCTTAGGTCTGCCCCAGCATTCATGCAACGTCACCCTCAACGTATCGGCTCAAAAAGCAAAAGTTTCGTCCGTGCGCGCTTCCGCCGCCACAGCTTGGCATGCGAAAAGGCGCCGCAGGCTGCTGAACGCGCCTCACAGTCGAACGCCAGCTCCTCCGCTAGCGGCGCTGCGCGCGTTTTTCAAAGCGCCCCCTATAGTTCCCGCACGGAGCGTATAGTAGCTGGGCATCTGTATAGGTTTCATTTTATGTCAAATCCATCATTTACTCGCCATCCCAATGTAGGCATTGGAGTTTCTGAGGTCACAGTCAATAAATATAGCTAGATAAAAATTAGCTTATGAATGGACAAATGGAAGCATGGGAACAGCCTTCCCGAGTTCAGCTGGATTTTCGTTTAAACATGGTGCAACCATAGTGAAAGGCTTGGAGAAACTATTCAATATTTGATTCAGACATGTTTAGCCTAAGCCATTATTGACTTTGCATTCTCTCCAAACTCAAAATCTATTATTTGCACATGACTAAAAATTTTGAAAAGCATCAAATGCAAGCTATGTAAAAAAAAAGAAAAAACTTTCTGGGCATGAGTTAATTGCATTTATACTTTAATAGCATTATAGGGCATTATATGAATATACACCGAGCAATACAGTAAATTGTGCTGTATTGACACTGTCGTCCAGTCTACGCGCATGAATACAACTTTCTCAGAACCCATTTGAGGAACATGGGCTTACCTGGACGATACCGTTCAAGTGGTAGCACATGACCACCTCAGGCACATTACACATCAGATTGTCCAGCCAGTAATCCAAGCCAGTGAGGATGTTGATTGGCTTTTGCATGTCCCTAGAAATGAAAGGTAAACTCGCATGAGCATGAATCCCGCAGGCGCACCCAAATGCCGGTTTACCTTAATTTTAAGCTGACCGCCGGTCGAGTGCCACCTCCAAAGATGGGCATGTTGGAGCCAATGAGCATGCGGATGTCTTCGAAGGTCCACAGGAGATTGCGCAGATGCTCGCTGCTTCCATCCAGTGCGGCATTCTGAATCGAGAATGCAGATTTGCTTACAAACATCTTTTCTGCACATATGGACGCACACAACGGTGAGCGTGCTTACTTCAACTGCATCCTGCCCTTCGGGAAGCATTACAGTCCGGTTTTCGTCCCGTGGTGCACTGTTTCCGTCAGTGCCGTTCCCTTCGTGACTTGCTTCGGAGCCTTCGGGAGCAATGTCAAGCTTCTGCACGGCACTCGGTTCTTGTTCCAAGCTTTACGAGGCCAAAACGAGAGTCAGGAAAGAAAATGCAAATGGGTCATTCAGGCACTTGTCTGTACTGTTCTATCACTGCTTCCCACAGCCAGGTTCACCATGGCGTAAATGTCTCCAAGTGGTTTTAACCAACAAAAAACCCCTATCAAATGAAATGATGCTATCTGCAGAATGCAATTCAGAGCAATTTCTGGAACACTTGAGCGTGGGTTTCGTAGCCATTTCCTAAATGCCTAATGTAAATTATGAAGCCCCTTAAAGCCCCCATTTATAAATTTTCGAGCACCTTATTATAAAACCTAAGGTACTCCGGAATATCCAAATTTAGTTAGGAGAATTTGAAGGTTGGTGCTAGGACATATCATACCCCATAACACAAAGTGTGCAAAGATCCAAAATGTCAAATATCAATAGCAGAATTTGATATAGTATGAGAAAGAAAGCAAGAATAAATACATTTCTAGGGAGTTTGGCAGCCTCAGACCTTTAAAAAAATTGCCTTCTGCACGCTGCCATCTTTGTCTGCTGGGCTGTGGAACATCTTCCGAGCATGCGCTGCTGCTCTGTTGTGCGATACATCAGGCGCTGCACATGCGTCCACAACTCAGTGACTCAGCATTTTTTGCCCGGGTGATAGCGATGGAAAGGCCTATAGGAAGCATTCACAGGACTGTGATTCAGTGCAGCCCTCCTGTCCACCACCACTCTGGGCATACTGCTTAGGAGTGTTCGGAGACATTTCTACACGCTGTTCATGCTATATGCTCTTCCTACCAGTCAGTTTCTTCTTCTCATGCTTTAGTCAAGGTGAGCATTTTGCCCATAATCATTCAGTATGTTTTAATGTGCATACATGCGCTTTTGAGGATGTGCTACCTCAAGAAACTTAAAGTAGTTAAGATTGTTACTTCGTGGCCAGCACCATGTTGATTATCGTAGCGCCTCCTGGCATGCATTTTGTTCTGCGGCCATCCTGGGTTGGGGCGAAAGCTGACCTCGGGGAGCTGCTTTAGGTTCTGCAGATGGTTAGAGGAACCTGTGCTTGGGTCGTCGCTGGTGCTCGACTCGACTCCCCACCCCCAGCTCTCGTGGCCCGCCGCGACACCCCCCTGAGTGCTGCACCCGAGGCGGTCCGCCGCCCCCCCCCCCCCCCCCACCCCCCGCCGCCCCCGCCCGCCCGCCCGCCGCCCGCTGCCGCTCCCCCCCCCCCCCCTTGTGACACCACTGCGCTGGTGCATCTTATGTGTTATCGTGTGCCGCGGTTTGAGTGCTCAAACACCTTTTATCAATGTTTATGGTAACAGGCACTGTAAAGATTTCTTATTGGGACTATGGCCTCTGCCACAGTGTTAATGGTAGGATCAGCAGTGGCAGCAGACAAAAAGCACTTATTACACACTTCACTCAAGTTTTTGTGGTTGCAGATGCAGACGCAGGTGCATCAAAAATGTGTTTGTTCCGCGTGTGCCACGAGAAAATATATTCTGCGTAACAGATGGACGCCGCAAATATACCATTAAATGTCGCGCCACAGCGCTCCACGCCTTCCTGTGCCACGGCGGCTCTTCCGAATCGGAATATTACTACCACTATCACACTGAAGGGAACGAATAAAGACAGCTCAAGTTTGCTCACGCATACAATGGCTGACAATTTTAGCTCTTATGTTTATAAACAATTTATTCAAAGATTGTGTATTGATGAGTGCGTCGTTTGTCAACAAGGGAAAACAAGTGCTTCAAAGTGGACCTGCTGCGAATATGAGTCGATCAGTGGCTCAGTTGTCTGAAGGAATCTGTGCATAAGCTTTCTTTGGTAATGAAATTTTGGGTTCATGTTCTAATTGCAGGTCATTTGGGGGAAATTAACATCTTAACAGCTTTACTACATAGATGCTGTATACTTATTCACATAACAAATTGACTCCATTTGTATAATGAAGGTCAACTTAATTTGCCGGTTCTCTGCAATCCTGCAGGTAATTGCGATCCAGAAAAACCAATGACACTAACTTTCATACAAATTCCACCTGTGCCCAGTGGTGTGAATAATCCTTCAGCTACTGAGTGATGTATAATTATCAGGTAGTATCAAAATTTCCGCAGTCAATATATAAACATCAGTGTCCACTAATGCACAGACCTTTACCTTGCAAATTGTGCAAAGGACAAATTCCTGAATTGCCAAGGGGCGCACTCAATACCTTAATTTTGCTAATTCTAAAAAATTGACGGCTTCAATCGTGTCTTTTAAATTACTTCGAAGAAAGCCGGCCAAACTTCCACTAAAGAGTCATAAGTCAAACATATGTATTGAATTGCCATGGATAGTCAGGGGATACAGAATGTAGACCGTATTTTGAGTCACGCTGAATGATCAGTTATGAGCTTTCCAGAGCTCTGGAGTTGCGCTAAATTTGGCCAGTCCAGTCCTCCGGTAAACTACACATTGTGTGGGTGTGCAGGAGACAAAAAAGAAAAATGGTTTTGCTTAGTGCAGCTGCAGGGTAGAACTCAAGTGTGCATTCCATTGAAAGAATGTTGCAATCACACTCAATATGATAGCGATGGGCAAAAGACTTGGATTACTAATGCAACTTGCTGACCCAGGAGTTTTTGATTATGTAAAAGGCTATAAAGCCTAAACACTTGGCAGCTGCACTCGCCTTGACGACTCCTAAACATGAGAAAGTATTCTTTCGGGCTTTCGGATGTTATTCATACAATACATATTCGAAAAATGGTGCCTCAGTGACTGGGTACTCACTGACATATAGAATCTAAAAAAGAAGCAAAAACAAAATACAAAAAACTTTGGGAAAAGAAAACAAGAGAACGCAAAATCTCGAGCAACACACGCATTCAGCGAGTTTATTTGGGTCTTTCTCCTGTTTGCCCCAACCCAGCGAGGAGGAAAGCGTGCGACAGCTCTCTCCCTACTTCTCTCTCGACCTCTTTCCATAAAACAATCTATATCGGGCTAGATACACTCACACCGAGTACTGGCAAATCGTGCACAAAGAGCAACAATGTGCAAAATGTAGTTAAAAAGCTTGTATCATTAATGACCTTATACATGAAACACTATCTGGCTAGCCATACACACATTGTTGCATCCATCCTGACTTGCATGGAAAGTCTGTTAGGGCATTTCTTGCTCGTCCATTGTCCTGGCTTTAAATTTAATTGCCGAGAGTGCAGGGGTGCATTCTCCCATCATACAGCATGGCACAAATGAGAGCCCTCTAGGGTTATTGAAACAGTGTGTTTCCATTGTGACTAAGTCTGAGTGTTGTGTTACACTTTTTCAGCGTTGCCCAGCATTGTGTTTGTAACACTTTGCTCGAGGTTTAAATTTTTTGTGAATAAGAGAACAAACATGATGACTTAATAGAAAAAGTCACAACACCTGTAATACAGGAACTTGGAGAACATGTTCTTGTTCTGTAGGATGTCCCGACGCTTATTCTTACGCAGTGCCACTTTTTCCTGTGACAGACAATTTCAGACACCAGTTGTAAGTCCAACTCCAGTGACAAGAAGAGAACAATGGGTATTAAAGGGAATCCCTTAAGTGATGTGGCAAACATACCTTCTCTTGGAGGGACGCGAGAACAGTGTCATAAAAGAAATTTCGCAACCACTCCCATTGCTTCTGCATGCAAAAAGAATGACAGTCAATGAGCATAACATAACAACACTGTCACAAGCCTTGCCTGAGATTCTCGGAGGAGATGCCGATGAACATCAAACTCGTCCAAAAGAAGAGTCTTTCCAACTCTGTGTACCATCATGCTAATATGTGAATTACTATAAGGCATTTTCAACAGCTTCTTAATATTCTGGAAAAAAAAAAAGAGACAAAAAAATTGAGAGGGGGGTTCACAGGCAAAGAAAAAACACCTTGAATGTTCAACTCTACTAGCCTATGCAACAACATTTGGAAGAGGAAACCAATGTGGTACAGTACCTCTGCGTCAGATATGACATCAACCTCCCCAATGTATTCTGTGAAATTGTTGGCCATGTGGAAACTGCAAAAAAGGCGGAGAAGACTAAGATAAAGGCAGTTACCCAGACAAATTATGCAAGCACTTCTGTGAAGAATTTGACAGCAGTTGCCAATACCAAACCTCAACTTCTTTTGCCACGCTGTCAAGGCTAGCATGTTTCTGCAGTGCTCCTACGCTGTCAAAGCTACTTGCGTGAGCACGTGGCACCATTCAATGTCTCCTTCGCATAAGAGTGTGTGCATGAGAGGCACATGCTCTCACAGCTATGCAGGGTTGCACCACTGTGAAAGCTGTGCTTGCCCTGACAGCGTAGCGCAAAAGGCTGATGCCACGTATATAGTAATGTTGCCAATACAGGTATTTAAAAGGGCGACACTTCGCAAGCACTTTGTGCGGCAGGGGCATACTCGTAGTAAAGGAACAAATAGGTGTATGCCTACTGAAAGACATTGCAATATCCAGGGTGTTTGATTGTAATTCAAAAAGATTTTTATTAAAGAATCCGTGAAAGGTACACTAATGCGGTCTGTGCAGGTGAGTTATATGACCAGGGGGGCATAATATAAGGGGCTAATCACCACAATAAGTCGAATAAGTAACTAAAATTGGTTCAATACCTTTTTATTTGGTGAAAATAAACATATGGTTTTAGATGACACTCAGCAGGTTTCTGATTAGAACCATATGTTTATTTTCACTAATTAAAAATTAATTGAACAAATTTTAGTTACTTATTCGACTTTTCACGACGATTCTTCCCTTATATTATGTCCCCCTGGCCACAGAACTCACCTGCACAGACCGCATTAGAGTAACGTTCACACTTTTTTTTTTTTTTTAACAAATCTGACTGAATATAATTTAAACACCCTGCACATGCCTGACCCATGCAACATGCTTCTTGAGAACATACTGTACTCATGAAGAAACATGTTCTCAAACAATGCAGCACTTGAAAACAATTCAAGTTACACTAAGCACCAGCAAGTTGTCATTAGCCTTGGAGAATTTCCTGTACCAATTATGGACACCAGGCACACCCAACAGTCGACCGACTAATAAAAATAATATCTGGCATCCATTCAGTCATATACTTGGGTAAATGATAGAAACTGGAAACCCACTGGAAGAAAATATGGAGTGATCCAAAGGAGGCTTCAAAGCTGCAGTAGCTGTCAAGAAATCTACTGGAACAAATGCATCGGGTGACAAGAGGGGCACGTCAAAGACAGTGCTGCTAAATGAAAGATGGGCATTACCTGGAAAATATGGTAGAGCTGCTCTGTGGATATGTCCATTGTGCTCGAAGCCCGTGCCAGCTGATATCGCCTCTGAGCCAGTTGGAAGGCGGTTTGTTGAGGTTTGTGTTACTGCTCAGCTCCAAGTAGCGTATGGCCGGTTCACACAAGGGGTGCTTGAGGACAGCCGACGACTTGACCGGAGAAAGCACCTGAAGAGCGATGTCCTGCAGACAGGATGTCCTAGCTTAGCACCACCCTATTTCTGTCAATTGTGTTGACGGCCAATTGTAACCCTCCAAGACATTATTATTCCATTCTTTGCTACCACTTGGCTAGATGAATACATGGCTTGCAAGTGACATCATTTCATCACGCTGTGTTTGCTTTTCCTTATAATGTTTCAAAATTTAGAAATTGGAGATGAGTGAAGTGAGGACACCATCGTAAAAGGCACCAACCAGTGTTGGGTAAAGTACAAAGTAGCAGCAAGAAGATTTAGAATAGCAACACAGGCTTTACATTTTGGGAAGAGGCTTCCAGTCTTCGAGCGTGAGAAAACTAAGCTGCTAGTTAAAATGGGTGACACGCCTATAACAAAAACAACACCTGGATAAAAGACACACGAAGGATACAAACACAACTGTGGCAATGGCAAAAGAAAAGTTAGAAATGGTAAATAGGAAACATGTTTCTGACTGTATTTAAAAAATGACTAAAAACATGGGGGTAGCCAACAGGGTTGAGACATGTGGTAGAAAGAGGGGGCCACAAAAAAACCATGATACGTGAACACACACGAGTGGTAAGGTATTCAACTGGCATGCACCGTGCCCGTGAGACGCTTTCTCCTGCCTGTGCCTTCCGTCTTCCAGATCTCCCGGCTACTCTGGCCTTCACGGGTTTATGTGGCACAACCAGAAAGTAAGCACTATTCGTGCCCAAGTTCCAAAAGAATATTAACTTCCGAGTCGCACATGTGCACTTGTGCTTCTGCCTTCTTTAGTCACACTCCGACACCATTTTGTGAGACTGATTATTGTTGTGTTCTGCATCAATCCTGTCTAAGTTAATAGAATGACCCAGTGACTCCAGTCTGTGATAAAGAGTTCTGAATGCGAAAAACGTCAAAACATGCAATCGCGAAAAATCAGTCGAGAAATTTGTGAAATTTATAGACTAAATGCAGTGCGCGAAGAAATGGTGCGAGAATTATTACGAATGTTAAATGACAGGCGACAGAACGTTCATAATGCACTGCAGAGCAGTATGCCGTCTCTGGTCACAGAAAATATGGAGCAGGAAGTGTAAAACCAATTTCTGGAGGACCGACATTTCTGATTGTGCAACACATGTCCCTGAAGTTTCGAAGTCATTACGTCACAAAATCATTGCAAAATGTTCAGGCAGTACAAATTGTTTCAAGGCAGATGCCAACAATGTTGCCTCAGGTAACAGACTTCTAGGAGGTTATAGAAAGACTTTTGCCAGAAAATAACAAAATGCCTTTAAGAGACCATGCAATGATATTGGGTAGGAATGTGTCTCACTTTACACAACCTTACTGCCACTAGCAGGACGCAAGTATACTCGCACGCAACGCCACTGACCAGGAAGCTCATTTGTCGCCGCGTAATTTCTTTAAGAATAAAAGTGGACGTTTTTCTCCAATTTGTCATTCACCAAAACTTCATTTCATTTATTCAACCCTTAAAGGCCCAATGGGCATTACATAAGGGGGGCAAGGAATATAAAATAGAAAATACAGGACACTACACGAACCGAAACAAACATCAATTATACATTTGTACACGCCATTAAAAATAGAAGACAAAATCCACACACAAAAAAATGAGGTCAAAAATCACCAACATATCATCTATGTAAGCACTCGCTAAAAAAAATAAAAGTAGCCAACCATAAAAACAATGTGGAAATTGCCTCACGGAACAGGCCAGTGTCACTAATGTCGACTATGGTGTTGGGAAGGTCGTTCCAATGGCAGATGCCTCGCGGGACAGCGGAGTTAATAAACGCATTAGTTTTACCGGTTAGGTGCGTGAAACTTTTGCTGTTAGTGGTTCGATGGGAAGGTCTGTTAGGAGGCTCAAGAAAATATATATTAGTATCATGATAGTAGAGCTTATGGATGAGGCACAGAAGAGCAATTTTACGGCGGTTTTCGAGTAGAGGGAGAGAACACTGACTTTTTAGAGTAGAAACACTTACATTATAGAAATAACTCGATGTTATAAAAAGTGCCGCTCAGTTTTGGATGCCTTCGATACGTTTGGTTAAGTAGACTTGATGAGGGTTCCAGATTGGTGAAGCATAATCAAGTTTTGGGCGAACGCAAGTTTCGTAGGCTAGCTTACAGAGTTGAGGATGTGCTGCCTTGAGGTTACGCTTAATGTATCCGAGGGTTCGAGAAGCATCTGCAATTACGTTGTTAACGTGGGTGATCCATGAAAGGTTAGAAGTGAGGTGAATTCCCAGATATTTGTAAGAAGAAGCAACGCTAACAGGCGTGTTACCAAGAGAATAGGGGAATAAGAAAGGATTTTTTTGCGAGTAAAACCAAGTAATTTACATTTTAACGTGTTTAGGGGCATTAGCCATTTGTCACAACAATTAAGAATGTTGTCAAGATCTCGCTGAAGGATTAGATGGTCATATGGATGATTAATTTTTCGGTATAGTTAGGGTGACCAGACATCCCGTTTTGGCCGGGACAGTCTCGTTTTTGAGGTCCGCTTCTGCCGTCTTGTCCTTTTGTCCCAATAAAGAACCACGTCCCGTTTTCCCAGGAGTGCACAGTTTCAAAATTGGCACCAAGTGAGTTGAAGCAAAATGAAACTATGCCTACTTATTACAAGTATATTTTACAAAAATAACCGTAGGTACTTTAAATTATTTACCCAGAGAGTAAAATTTAGAACTGTTCTTGCCCACAAACACTTTTTCTCTCACGAAGACGCGTAAGTAGAAATATGTTTCTGAGTTACTGGATATAGCATGCATGTAGAATCTCGGTTGGCAGCGTTACACTATTTTTCGGAAATGGCAAAGAAATGCACTTGCCCCCCCCCCCCCCCCTCCTTCCCGCTGAGATGCCCCGTTTTCTAACTTGAGGAATGTGGTCACCCTAGGTATAGTACACAGTCATCTGTAGACAATTGTATGTTAGAGGAAAGCGAATTAGGAAGGTTGTTAATATAGATAAGAAACAGAAGAAGCCCTACGACGATGCCTTGAGGGACTCCCGAAGTTACATTAGAAATGTCAGATTGAAAATCCCCATAGACAGTAAACTGGGAACGGAGCGAGAGACAGTTTCGAATCCACGAGAGAGTTAGAAAATCAAGATTAAGCGAGATTTTAGATGTTAAATGACAATGAGGTACGCGATCAAATGCTTTAAAGAAATCAAGAAATACAGCATCGGTTTGAGTGTTAGTGTTCATATTAACATGAAGGTCATGAGTGAATTCGAGAAGTTGCCTATCACACGAGAAGCCCTTTCGGAAACCATACTGATATTCATAAAAGAAATTGTTAGATTCAAGATGTGATGCAACATGAGAGAATATTACATGTTCCAACAACTTACACACTACACTAGTTAGTGATATGGGACGGTAGTTTTCCGCTGAATGACAATCTCCGCTTTTGAAGATCGGAACGACCCTCCCGATTTACCACTCATGCGGGATGCAGCCGGCGGATAATGACTGTTGAAATAATAAAATGCAGATTTCACTTGCAACTTCCTTCGTATTTTTTAAGATCTTTGAATTAATTGTGTCAATGCCAGCCGAGGTGGAAATTTTAAGTTTATCTATTAAGTCTACAATCCCTTGATGACGAAGTTGTGGGGATCACATCGTTAATTTCCATCCCCAGGATTTCGTCAGAAATTGCGATCTCTGCGTAGACAATATTTTAATGTGGCTAATACAGTGGACACGAGCACCGCACACGAACATTTGATTTGGGCTCGTGACAATCAATGCCTCGACATGCATTGGGGTTGTGGCTCATGCCCAATTGTTGCAATGACGGGAACAGCCGAACCTCCGCAATGTGTGAAACTTGGCGCACGCCCTGCGCCTGTGCCGACCCCGCACGTGGCTATGATGGACATTGGAGGCATATAATCGACTCCAGGTCACGTGGCCGCTCGTTCTGGCTGCGAGTTGAGGGGCGAACGCGGCTCGTTTCTCTCCCATTTTTACTACAACTGCCATTGCGTAACGAAAAAAAGTAATGCGTTTCATAGGTAATGAATGTCAAGAAATAATCCTAAGCGGTGTTTACTGAACTACAAAAATTGTTGCACCACCCCTTTAACATCAAAGCATGATTACATCAAAAGAAAGATTAAGGTATGCAGAATTCACAAACAATGTTGCATCACTCCCTCATTTTCAAACAAAACTTGCTTTCTGAATGTGCCACATTTTTATGTCACTAAAAATTTCCTTACAATGTTGCTTCAGTAGTGGGGAGCCTTTTAGCTTTTCTTGAGAACATAGGATTTTTAAGAGCATACATCAATCGTAATCACCTTTTACTTTCCACAAGGTTGTATTTTAAATGTCCGTAGTTTGGCGCATATGGCCATCGTAGCTTTCGTGGCGCAAAAGGCAAACAACAACAGTTGTAGGGAGGAGGTGAGAGGAATCTTTTCATTTTACTATTTTTGCTTTTTAAATGAATGCCACAACTACATTTGTGTTACTGTTAGCGTCTTTCCAGTTTTACCCCATTTTATTTTTTGTTGTATATGTGTTACTCGCATGAATGTATTTTCTTTTTCTCTTTTATACTATTTCACCACCAAGAGGACTTCGCAAATCCCCTTTTTTCACAGAAGTCTCCTGCCAAAACGTTTGATAATTGAAGCCTCTGCTGCTCTTTTGTCTCTTTCTTGTTGAAAAATAATTATGAGAATATTAATTCCAAGTAAAGAAAGTACACTGGGTGCAATGTACCGGGTGTTTTTGAGAAAAAAGGACAGCTTTTTCGCAGGAAGCTGGAACTCGGTGAGAATGTGACGCTAGCGGTTCAAAATCTAGAATGCGCAAGTTTAAAAACATGACATTACCTGGATCAATAGATGAAAGAGAAAGACGGATTTACCCTATTGAGCCTATTGAGTCAACGTCCACCACTTTCTCATTCTTTACAACCGCTAGCGTCACATTCTCACAAAGTTTCAGCTTCCTGCAATGCATATAGTTTCTTTACGCAGACCGAAAAGCACGGTTTTTTTTTCTGAAAAATGCCGGGTACTTTAGGTAAAGTACAATGAGCATAATGGTCTTTCAAAGTAAGGTACAGGTATGTTTTCAACAGAATTTTTACCGAACTCTTTTGTTATCCCAAAACTACTAAAACGGTTTTTAAACTGGTATATATATATTGTACTATATGCCCAGTCAATAATAAAGACAAGTCATACATGAATACCATCATCAAACTCACGTTTGATCACACTGACTAACCTTGCTGCAACATAAAAAAAAATACCGTGATGGTGTAATACAAAGTCACTAGCGAGAAGCAACTGGTCAAGAAACTGTTACTGCAAAAGCGAGCTGATAATACCCCACCATCCAGAGGAACTCACGCCACTACAACATGCATGCAGTTCTTGCTTTGGCATCTTAACTCTTTCCTGACTATGCCCATCGGCCAGCGATCACCAACAATCAATGGTTTCCAAGTGCCGTCAAGAAAACATTTAGAGCTGAGAATTATGTTCCACAATCTCGTGGATACCTGAAGAGCTCTAGCTTCAGTTTTAACGTAGGTTTAAGCTTTATCATAAGCTGGAGGATGTCCAAAATAGTTGTGGGAACGGGGATGCACTGGTCTAACATGGCTAACTGCTTGCATCCCTCTTTGTAACAAAGATGGCATTATTTACAAAATTCAACTGCACTGTGGCATATTTTTCAGACCACAAGCGCTCTGGGGACACTTCAAATGATGTTATAGGCGTTGCTTAACAGATGGTTGTCGGTAAGCATCACCATAATTTCCCAGGCTGCCCTGAGCCGGCTTGCACGTTTTATGTTCCCAACAAGGCGCACAAAAATTCAGAATTTGAGGGAACGGCAATCGAGGCTATGGCAAAACGAAGGTCGAACACAAGGAAAGCATTCTGCTGGGGATGTGAGATATGCTATCCGTGTTTCACCAATATAAGCACTCCTTTGTTGAAAAGCACACATGCTACGGAGGCTAACTCTCTGACGAACCGAAAATAGACAATGTCAGTTAAAGTATCTAAGTTTCAGAAGTAATAGCCGTGGGTGCAGGGCACATTTTCTATGTTCAGAATTTTTTTTATTTGTTGTTTAATTTCACATAGCTGTAGAAGTTTTGGCGTATGTACGCCTTCCACACACACTGTATTTTGAAGAAATAAAATTTGAAAATCCTTTTCCCCATATTATATTAACCTGTTTCTTCTAAAAGAACTTAATTGGCCACATTTTGATGTGTCATGTTGCTCCATACGCAAATTAGTTAGGGAAATAAAAGTGTTTCCACGGATCCTTTGAAAATTGCTACTTTTCCCATGGTCAGGAAAGAGTTACTTAAAAAAAAATGATGAAGTTCATTTTGGCATGTTTGGCATGCTCAAGCATTTTTTTATAGTGTTTGCAATAAAGCAAGGACCACCTTGTTTAACATGGTAAACCAAAAATTAGCTGAATTTGCAAAGAAAAGATAGTGTGTGTGGTCCTATTTTGACTGGAACACGAGTTGGTATTTTCACTTTTGAATGCTTCCTCACCCTTCATTCATTCATTCATTTAGTTTCAGTGTTGACAAACAGCTTGACGCATCCGTAGTGGTGCATTTCCAACTCGTCTTGAACTAATGCAAAAACATTATAAACATGAAGACAAAAAAATGAAAGCCGTTTACAACTCCCTGTAACGCTGAATTAGAGCGCAGCTCTTGAGGAGGAGGAGGGAAGGGTACTGAGGGTCACGTGTTCTCGGGGGGGGGGGGGGGGGTTACATGACCTGGGGCAGGGGTCACGTGAGGTTGGAGGGTCACGTGACCCCCCCCCCCGAGGTTACGTGACCTGGGGGGTGCCGCGTGACCTCGGGGGGGGTCACGTGACCCCCCAGAGAAATTTTTCCACTAGGCTTAGCGGGGAAACTTTACCTCTAGATTTAGCGGGGAAATTTACCCATAATGCACCGCGCGGTTACGCCGACGGTGACGCTGACGCCGCTCAAGCCGGAAACGGACGCCTAAGAGCTGTGGCATTAATGCGCTGTTGAAACAGTGGCATTAATACGCTGTTGAAAGCTACACATAAAAAATATTAGGTTTCTATGACATGTGTAGCCACTGAACAGGCTTTGACTTCTTGACCTTGCTGGAAACAGATAGTTTCTGCTATCTGAATCAATTCAAGGCATTTCTTTTGGGCACAAACACAAAGGGCATTATTGAGATGACACCAAAGAGTCTCTCCCTGTGACGAAAGCAAGCCAACAGCTTAAATAAAGTTAATTCTACTGTGGATTTCAACACGAAAAGCATTTTTGACCAGTGAGCAGGGACGCTAATTTATAATTTGCTATCTGCTTGGTGAAGTCTAAACTTTAATAAAATGAGAAATTAAATATTTATTAACTTTTTGCCAACTTAAAGTTGTCAGAAAGATTAAAAAGAAAAGGAGTTGGTATGTAGATGTCAAAAACGACAGAGCACTCCCAGCATGCCTGAAAGACAATTTTTCGAGCCATATTTGGAGGCTCGCTTCTGTAGAAAGAGCCTAATCCCCCGCTCACTAAAGAGTTTCATGCAGATTAAACATGGACAGTGATTTAAACATAGTTATTTCCTCACACTGCCAGGAATCGGCCACCTGTGGTCAGTGCACTAGTGTGCAATGGCCCGAGTGAAAGGTAGTGAAAGTTTGAAATGCTGCGGAAAAGTGTTCCCGAGCACAAAGGAAGTCACGTGCCATCAGTTCTCCCCCAAGTATAAACACACCCAGTTCTTGCGAGTTGATGAAGCATCATTCTACAGTACAAATTTTCCAGATAGATTTTAAGACGGCATATTTTGGAGAGAGGCAGCATACTTTCCAAGGAAAGTGCCAGAAAAAATGGTCTAGGACAGATTTGCCTGCTTCTGAAGTGCAAGTCGTCACTTTTAAAGGGACACTGACTTCTCCCAAAAATGTTTTCTTTTTTAATTTTTTCCCATGCGATCCATTATGGTGTCAGAAAACCACCCAATCAATATTTTGCAAAATCATCACATATATTTTTAATAAAGTCAAGAAACGGAACTACTCGAAATTGAAACCAGATTAGGGAAGAAGAAATATAGAGCAGGAGAAAGTTACCAAAAGTCACGTGACTGTGCAACTTTTTTTTTTTTCAATTAACTAATTTGCAGCTTTTTAGAAGCTACAAAAAATGTGTATCATGTCTTGTCTGTTTTTAGTATTGAGAGTGTGCTTTCAATGACCCACTACTTTGATTATCATTGGTGGTTCTGTCTAAACCATGCAAAACGGCACCTGACAACAGAGAACGAGGAGGAGACAACCGGCCAGTTCTTGAACGGCGATTTTCAGGTGGAAAGAAAACGAATTTCGAGCCGCCAAGTGTGTTCTGGATAGATGGGCTCTTATATGTCATGTACAAATAAGAACCTTGGCGAGCATAAATACCCTGTCAGTGTCCCTTAAAGGGATACTGACCCGAAATCTGGATTCCACAAAACATGGCAGCAGAAGCATGCAACGGGATGCTAGGAACACCAAAACATCACTCATACAGCGGTACCTCGAACGGATGACCATATTTTTCTAAAAGAAGGAGGCGCATTTGACAGGTATGTTGACGTCTTGTTTAGTCAAGAAATCACTTCACCCCGCCTCGAGGGGGCGAAGTGAAGAGAGGGGGAAATGAGATATGTTCACGTCACGCACCTGGTCGACCTTGTTCAATCTCGACTTCTTTTTAAAAAATACGGCCGCCCATTGGAGATGTTGCCTTGCAGGTGGTGTTGTCGAGATTGTAGCGTCCCGCCTACCGCTCCTGCATTGTTTTCTGAAGTCCAAATTTCGGTTCACGATCCCTTAAGCACAAAATACTATGTCCAGTGCATCCAAACACTGGCGCCAAACACATAAGCAGTGAATTCCGGAATAAGTTTTCATTCCTGCATAACTGTCGTTCAGTTATGTGGTTGCATACTGGCTATAGTTATGTTCTGAGCTCAAAGTGTTGCTGTGAAAGTACCCAAGTGTTCGGTAGGAGGTAAAGGATGCAGCGAACAGATTGGTCCATCGCCAAGAGATTGGAGAGGATTGAAAGAACAGTCCTTCTTATGTCATATTGTCAAAGTGAGCAAGTCCAATGCTTGAAGCCATCCCAACTACAACTTGCTTACAAAGAGGGACCGTCCGTAACAGATGTGGGTTGTTGGTGACAAAGACGAGTTGGTCAAGGATCAGTTTGATTCTAAAAATGAAGGTTACTGAAGTACTCGAATATCTGTTGTAAAGAAATATTGTAAACATTGTGTCCTGAGACAAGCAGGCACTAACAGTGTAATCATTTGGATGCTTTAAGGTATCCGTTGATGGTTGCGCATAAAGCGTTTTGTGAGGAATAAAAAAAAAATTCTCCATTTTTATTGTTTGTTCTTTGTGGCTTAGCGTCGGCTGAGAGTATCATGGTCCAAATGAAAGGGCGTTTTACACTGCGAGGCGATAACCAACAGTGGGAATGGACGAGCAAATAACGCTGGCGCATAAATCGGCGGCATGAGTTGCTTACGTCTCCGGTCATGTCTTTCACGTCGTCGTCTTCTTTGCGAGAGGCACGCGAAGCAGTCTCTTCAGATGACATCGCGTAAAGGAGTCCGAAAAACTTCACGAACGTCCTACATACTTGTAAGGCCTGTCTTTTTCTTCAGAGAATAGCATTTCGGAACAGCATTTCGACACTTGCCGGAGCTCAAATGTTCTACGACGGGCCGGCACTGTCGGCGTTGGGTAGACCCGTTGGTCGCAGACCCGACTGGACCCGACGCGCCGCAGCGCCGCCGCTTGTTTTGCTTTCGTCGCTCTGCTCCTTGCTCTGCTGGCTCTGCTCTGGCTCCGAAGGCTGACTCATCTCCTCGCAGCAGCAAAACCAAGACAGATATCCGGAACACAGAACAACTTTTGATTTAACAAAAAAAAGCAAAGCTCTTGTCAAGTTTTGGGAGGCGAAGTGAAGCGGTGAAACTCTGAGTGAAACCAGTAAACGTTTTGTTGCAAGTTGAAAGTCTACCTTGTCTGTTTTTCATGTCCCTTTTTCGTTTTCGTAAACCAACAGGAACCTAAGAACCTTCGTCGAATCTCTCAGAAACCGATAATCAACCCTCTCCTTTCAAACCAGGCTTCCACTACTTCCACGCTTGCATGTGTTTTTACTATCGTGACTTTAAAGCTTAACCGCACTAAAGTCACTGGACTTTAGGGCATCGAATTATGCTTTAGGAACCCTTGAAATACTATTTATATAAAAATAATAAGAGATAATTAGTGCAAAATAAATTGAGAAATATTGAGTTTTTTTAATCTAAGTATATTTATAATATTTTTTTTTTTTTACAGCAGTTACTCTAAATGCGTAATTCAACCATTCTGTGCCTTGGATAAAAGTGGCTGTATCCGCTTGATGTGCCATATGATTATGGTGCCTGGAGCGCGTCTTCGACTGGTGTGTTTAGCGTCCTATCCCGCCAATGCATCAAAAGTGGTCCCGATGTGGCAACAAACGACGCGAGTGTCATGCTGTTGCCTGTCGCGATCCTGGCGGTTGGCCGTAGAAATGCTGGCAAAAAGCACGAGCGAACGCGAGTGTCGCTGTCGTCACGGTGTCCCGTTAGGCGTCCCAACTTCCGGCTGCACTAGCTTCCGTGAACTGTCACAGTGGAAAGCGACCTGCAGCAGAACAGGCGTCTGCTACATACACCATAACTGTTGAGACGCCACCAGGGTCGCGACCGGCGACAGCATGACACTTCTATGACGTCATCAGGCGGAAATCGAGGGACCACTTTTTTGGCCGCGGTAAACACACCAGTCAAAGACGCGATCCAGGCACCATAATATGATGGATGTTGAGTTTTTGCGGTGTATGTTTCGGTGGGGATGCGAAAAGAACACGTGTTTTTGAAAAGCACGTCCTGCGTTTTCAGCGTAACTGTCTTGCTCGCCTATGTGTACATCCTCCTGGACTTTACTTTGTTGACAGTACCTGGTACGCAAACAACTTGCTATCCGTACGATCGTTGCGGCTGGTTTATCATATTTGCGTCGGTTGCGTCCAAAACAACCAAAACGACAGCAACGACCGGAACCGCGACTCAGGATCGCTTCACGAAGTTTTTTGCGTTGCTTGGCACGTTGTGTGGCCAACAGTTCTCACCTAGACTTTGTCGTTGCTGTCGTTTCAGTCACTCTGAATGGAAGCAACGCAACTGTCTTAACAGGCTTTAATGATCTGCGTCCCGATTACTTCAAATTGATTTCTTTTCCCTATGCAGTGTCGGCAGAGACTTCAGAGTCCACCAAGTATCTGAAAGATGACATCTTCTTCGAAATAGTCGAGCCAGAGAGTCTTCGATATACGTTCCGACTGAGGCCAGCCCACGAGTTCGGATCGTCGTTCGTGAGTGTCCATCGTGTCACACGTAGCACTCTTGCCACGAACGCTTGCGCGTTCCATTAAAAGGAGCTGTTGGGCTAGTTGGTTTTGCATATTTACAATGTAGCGCAAAGACAACACTCTGTCTCCTTCCTGTGTTGTCTTTGCGCTACATATGCGTTCCAAGTCTGATTAATCCGGGAATTGTCTAATTAAGCATTCGCTTGTTTGGGGTACGCAGCAGGACTGTTGCGTACTCCGTAGTGGGTAATGCGGACGTTCCTGATCACAGTGCATTGTGTGCGTTGCATTTTAATCTTGGAAGCGATCTTACTGTCCCCAATCATTTGAGGACACGCTTCTCCAAACGGTGCACGGACTTCATTGCGCAATGTTCGGCGACACAGGGCGAGTGTAGTACCTTCTACCTGCTGTACAAGGGATGGTTGTGCTGGTGGTGTGAGATCAGTTAGAGTTGACTGTGTCCCTCTATTTGACGTACTTGCCAAGTGCTTCGACGGTGAGGCAGGTTTCTCGATGCTGGCTTTCTTAGCTTCAGTGATGCCTTGTAAAACTCGCAGAAGGCCTTGAAAGGGTCAGCCAACATAGCCGGAGCCACTGCTTGTATTTGTCTGCCTCCATGCAGCAGTCACAAAACCGTTGCCTATAAGGTTTTCTTTTGTCTGCCATCTCCAGTCTTATTACAACTGAAAATAACTAAGAGTATGGCTCGTAATTTACAGGAAGCGTTTGCGCGACATTTTCCTAACAGAAGTGACAGGTGTGCCAGTGTGCTCCGGGAACCGTTTTCCGACATTCAAATGTTGGTCGCCGACAAGGTGGAATGGCCATTGGTGTGTAGCAATGAAGAGGAGGTCGGGGCCCGTAGAACGTAGAAGAATGAGTGAGAGGGAGACGAGAGAGGCACCCACATTGCCGCGCCAGTCTTGTGACGCTATCAAAACGAGCAAAACCAATGAACTGCTCAACCTTTTCCATCTTCATCGCCGCTGCTCACCACCACAGCACCACCTGATCAAAGCGCCACCGTTCTTGCCCGTTGCGACTGCTCTTAGAACTTATATCGCGGAGGTGCATCGCAGTAGGTGGAAGGGTTGGCGCTTGTATCAACTGGTGAAAAGGTTGGGGAGGAAAGGAAGCTAACTCATGAAGCAGTTTGTCCTCTACTGTCCCAACTGTGGTGATGAGGCGGCACTTGCCAATGGTAGAAAAATTACCCAAGTAATAAGCTAAACTTCTCAAATGTAAGTAGATTTAGAGCTAGATTTCTAGAAAAAAACAAAAAAACAAGCCAATTTAGCTACTCATAGCTAAACAACTTTTTTTTGTAGCTAGACGCCCCCGAAAGTAGCTAAACCTAGCTACAAAGTAGCTAAATTGGCAACTCTGCGACTAGACACTATCGCCACTGTGTGGCTCTTAGCAGAAGCATCTCGCATCGGCCATGGCCGAGTTGGTGTAGAAATTCTATGTAATAGCCAAGCTTAGTTTCTAATCAATGTCTGTTGACCTGAGCACAGTGCTATACGAAACGTTTGGGGCTATAGTTGTCAAAACCTGGAAATTGAGAACACAGGTGCACTCCATGCACTGTGAAAGTTGCCCTGATCTTCTCGATAGCAGTACGTCCAGGGGTTTCCCCAGGAATTGAATTGAAATTAGGGTGTGTCTAAATTTTTAGCACGGGGGGGGGGGCATGGAATTGAGAATAGAGGAGTCGTTGCATATTAAGGGGGCGCCTTCAGGAAAACAAGGGGGGGGGGGGGGGGGGTGTAGGGAAATCACTGAGTATGTCTACTCAATCTGCCAGCGAGCAAAGAGCAATTTGATAGTAAGGGGAGCGAAAAATACTTCTCACGTAAATTTCATCTATCACTGGCATTGGTGAATGTCGTGCCGTAAAGATCTACAGACCGTCAAACACACAAGCGCTTCGTAGATGCATACTCCAGCGCAGATAAACGAGAAACATGGCAGTAAGTTGCCTTCATTGCTTCTTGCAACTGCGGGGGACACAATTGAACTCGAGCTCCGAGCAACACTTGCAGGTCAAATTACGTGAAAACGCTCAATGTGGGTACCCGCCTTTGGCCCACGTTCTGTCCTTTAGAATTGAAAAACTCGAAAACTAAAAATATGAGGCAAAAACGATTTTCATTTTCATCCTATTGTTGGTGACAGGTTAAGAGTTATGTAGTAGCTCCTCCCACCTCCTTCCACTTCAGCAGAGACGACCTCCTCTTCAGTGTTCACTCTGCTGAAGTGGAAAGAGGTGGGAGGAGCTTCCACTTCTTTCTTGACCGGTCACCGACTAAGTAAAGAATTCGCCCAGCATATATATTTGTTTCAAAAGCTTTTGAGACATGACCCCTTTTTCCTGCACGACTTGAAATGAAATTGCCCTGGTCTAATATCTTGAGGCTTGAAGAATGCAATTTGTTTTAGCAGTGTCGCCATAGTACATATAATTTCCATTGAGCGAGCGCTTTTATTAGTAGCAGCGAGCAATGCTTGTTTGTCTCTGGAGCCGCAGGACAGCACAAAAGCATTTTGAGGAGCCAATTTCTTATTTGTGGAACTAGTTTGCTCAGGGATTGATCAGTGTAGAGTTATGCAAGTAGCAGTCTCGAATCAAACAGAAAAGTCATTCATAGCCTTGACAGTGTGTGGATGGCCTTCAGCATCTCTTCTCCCATACCATTGCATTGTTAAAGCCAGGTGGCTTTGGTCTGTTTGACTGTGACTTGAATTTGCTTACCTATGAGCAAAATAAATCCTGCAAACTGATATGATGAGGACTGGACTTGTAAAGTTGGGGGAAGGGAGGGGAGGGGGGGGGGTGGCAGCAGCAGATGGGAGTTGGGAATTCAGCTCAACTCAAATTTTCTAATTAAAATCTCCCCCCCCCCCCCACACACAAACACACACAAAAAAAGAAGAAACATCCATTGGCACTGGCATTAGAACAGCAGAGGGCTAGAGGCAGACATTGTTTTCTAATGGGGTGTGGCCACACAACTCTCTCCCTTCCCCCTCTCCACTGCCACTTTCTTTTACCCCTTACTCTTCCAAACACTTCCAACCCACCTCCCCTTTACGTTTTAAGGCTAAATAACCTTGCAGTAAAGCCAACTTTCAAAACTACCCTTTGGTCGATTCGAGTGCATGTATGTTGTGTTTAAGCACTTGTACAGAAAATACAAAAAGAAAATGGGGAACTTTTATTATGCACACAACACATTAACGTAATGGGAACAATATAGGAAAAAAAGAAATAAATGAGAAAAAAAAGGCCTCTTTTAATAACATGGACTCAAATTATGGCTAAATTTACTTTTTGATGAAATCTAAAAATGCATATAAACTATTTTGTGAAAATGATTTAAACTAAAGTGGTACCAGTCGATAGCACATGTATAGGCCTACAGTCATATATTATCTGATAAGCTAAATGTATAATGAATCCTAAGATATAAGGCTCCAAATATGTCACCAAAACGTCAAAGATGCAATGTTTGGCATTTTTATTTCTGGCATAAAATAAGCCAAAGCGGTTTAGTTCAAAGGAAAAAAATAGGACATGCGTCATACCTATAGATTTTATCTCTCTGCATCGCCACAGGCAGCGTTGCCCTTAGGCTATGCTTTCTAGTGACTGACTGTGACAATCGACTTTCTCATGCTGCTCGCACCTGTTGATGGGCATGGCCAATATTGGTTTTATGCTACCATACAGTGCTGCTCTTCCAGAGAAATTCTTGGCATCGGGGCAACTGATGATCCAGTTACGAAAGCTGCACTTTTATTGTGATTCCCCTACGTCATTTGACCAGTATCCTCCTAATTTCATTTAGAAAGGAGCGTTACTCTGAAATAATTCACTGGCACTGTGGTCTATGCGTTATCAGTGTGACCATTATGCTCGATAAAAGACAACCTTTATCTATTAAAACAAGAAACATGTAGCCAGATCATAATGCAGCGTCCAACTAGAATCCTTGAACATTTCCTTGGTACTGTCATTCTCATGCGATTCCCACCAGTCCTTTGTTTATTAAGAGCAGTGATTCAAAAGCATCCACGAAATGAACAAGTGTGACCAGGGGCAGAGATAATGTCACGGTGCGAAACACCCGTAATAACCTCGTTGGAGCAGTACCACCACCAACTTTCGCCGGGAGGTTCTGCAGGCTCCAGATGACGTTTTGTTGTTTGTTTCTTTTAACCATGCCTGCACAGTCTCAAACAATATAAAAGACACATTTGACAAGGGAGTTTTAGGTGGCTGTTGCTTGATTCGCTTTGGCCACATTGATTGTAGTGAAAAAAATGAACAAACTCTTGTTCTCTTACCTCTCTAAAAGTTAAGAACCTCTGGCCAAAGCGTGCTTAGCACCATTATATAAACTGCCCAGGCGAAATGGGTCTTTCATATTGCAGGACACTGTACCTATTTTTTGCATGACCTTTCTTTAGCACTTCCTCATGTTGCTTCAAAGCATATTTTTTTTCTTTTTCTGTATACTGGTATATTATTTAATGCTGCACTAATATTTAGAACTCTAGAAATTGCAGTAAACACTAGTTAACAATTCTGAATTTTAAGAATATTAATAAGTGGGCAGTCCATTGACAACCTTAATGCGATCTGCAGGAAACATAAATACAAGCATATCATATTTATGGAACACTAGTGTCCTGCCCTGACTATACTAATTACAGAATATTTGGTTCGTCCACCGTGTTTAAAAAATGTTGGTAAAAATTTGTGCTTGACCGAAATCGTTTCTTTACCGAGCACTGAATTAGTGGACACGGCTGTAGTATACGTTAACTCGGGACATTTACTCCGTTTTGGATGTTGGAGCAGCAATGCACCTTCGGTAGAGGTTTGTGAGTCGAGGGGCATTTGGTAAATCTCCGTACCAGTGTGTCTTGACTAATCTTGATGTCATCCTACTTTAATTCTAGGTATCGCAGCTGTCCAATGTAGGCCTTGTAATATCAGAGCCATCCCAGGGATGCAGTAGTGCCATCAACAAACTCGAGCTGAGGCACAATGTAGTGCTCATTGCAAGAGGGTAAGTCGTTTGGGAAATGGATAGTTTTACCACACTCAGTAACCTTGTATGTACTCCAGCACAGCTGGGCATGCACTGCAAAGTTTTCTCATCTTGCTTGGTGCCTCTTAGTTAATATTATCGTGGGGATGATGAGTGCACTACAAACAAGCTGATAGTTTAAGAGGTAAAGCGGTGTGGGCGAAGCTTAAAGGGGCACTGACACATCAACTTCATATTTTTTTTATTATATGAAACAATTGAAAACGATGCCGGGACATTACCCTCAAAATTCGAAACTTGGAAATTCAGTATTTCTGAATTTAAAAAAACAATTTCCAAATGCCGAATTTGAAGTTCCCGCATGATCCGCGCCAGTGCAGTGAGTCAAATTTTGCGGTCTCCTGCGACTCTACTTTCTTTGGGACCTCCGCCGTTGCCACGGCGACCCGAAGCGAGGAGGAGGTGACCGGCGCCGGCACGGGAAAAAAAACGGTTTCTTCCCCGACTCGCCAATAAGCCTCTGCTCGAGCGCCGCCAAGTTTTCCGAAGGAGGATACAAATCCAGGAAGCGGCATCACACCGAAATCTGATTTTTGGTATTTCAAAAAGAGGGGCGGTAGTGCTTTCGCAATCGCGTTAAAAAACATGTTTTACGATTGCCGTTATTAAATGGTATAGAAATGTCGCCTACAAAGCTTCTAAATTTCCTGATTTTTGATGCACCGATCAAAAGAAGCAAGGAGGTGAGCGCGGGAAATATAAATGCCAAAAATTAAAAAGGCGCGTGCAAAGAAAATTTTTTTCGCGATGCGTTTTTTTTTTTGCATGTCTATGACTATAACTTGCATTGTTTTAGACAATAAAAAAATAATACGACCTTTGGGGTGTCGGTGCCCCTTTAAGATTCTGCTGATGGATGATTTGTACTATTGACCAGTGCCTACTGTAATATACCGAGGGAATGGCCATCCCACTTTCACTAAAAACTGGGTTAATCTAGACGTAGGTGCTTGTCCGGTCAAATCAGGTGCTTAATATGTGATACGCAGAATTCGCAAGTTTGGGAAATGTTAATAGTGGGCGCTTGGGGGGTACGAAGTGGGCGCTTCCATAGTATTTTACAGTACATGTGCATTAGTCCATATTTTGACGCATTTTGGAATGCTGTAAAAGGGGAAATTTGTTATGCCGGAATATGCGTGGCATTCGTGTGGGCCAAAACAATAAATGTAAGATAATCATAACAAATTTGAATTCTACGGCAGTTAATGCCTGCCTACCCTGTTTTCTCCGGCGCAAATACTACTCTCAAAAGGTGCCAACTGTGGCTATGAACTAGACACAACTCGTGGCACAATCCTATGTAAAGATAATTGTTTGCTGCTGTTTTCAGTAATGTACAATTAATTCTGGCAGCAATTGTGTTTTGTTTATAGTTCATAAGGGCCCATTACAGGCAGATATTGGCGAAAGTTGAGCAGTGCGGGGATGTGATTGCTGTGCTGCTCACCCTGCTACATCCTGCTATGTTTCACCGAAAAGTAGCAGATTTGCAACAGTATCACGCCAGAACATAAATTTTTCTCGGTACTGGAACAAATAGCTTACACCAGGCTTGTATGAGTTCTTAAAACTTTCCGTTACCACATTGAATTATATGCTGTTTGACTTCATCTTTGTGTCGAACATTGAGAGTACTGGGAAGTTCTGCAACTTTTCTCATTGCTCGTGGTCTATTTGGGCAGGCTAGCTGGCTCCGTTGAGTGTCCTTCTTACCGTTCACTGGTGCAGTGTGGAGGAGTGACACCCATGAGCTAAGCATCCTGTGCATCTCGCTTTGCCCATCGCATTTGCGTGCTTAGGGAAAAAGCAGTCCTTCAGAGCAGAATTGGAATTGGATGTTAGATTCAAAGTTATGTACTGTCAATAAAGCTTGCAATTAAAACTAAGTCAGGTCTAGCAGTGGAATAATGGCAGGTAACCTTCACAAGTTCATCTGGATATTTTTTTTAAAGAAGCATGAAAATCTATATGTAAAGTGGCATTGATGTACATAATTAAATCCCACAAGCTCTTTTTTATTTGAATCAAGAATCGCACAGTTTTATTGCCACCTCCAGAACTTGGACAGAACCATAAAATCTTGATCTCAATATTATTCTATCTCAACATTGTTCCAGTAAAATATTATTTGGTTTACCATTAGTTTCGTATGTAAAATAACCATTTGCAGATGCTTTGATAAAGGGTGTGCGAATATTCAAGTTTTGAGTTTGAATCGAATAGTGATTACCGAAATTATTCTGTTTGCTTTTTTAGATTCCTAGAATTTGAGTATCTGAATAATTTGAGACATTGAAAGCTGCTGCACAAATCCCAGGTTTATTTGAGAACACTGTCTATATTGTGACATAATCCTTGCAAGTTTGTGCTGGATCTAAGTGAAGCCTGCATTGAGAAGTTTAGACTAACTAACCGTTTTGATAAAAAGTGGTTCTTTCTTGCATTCCTCGAACGAAGCAGTCTCGCTCGAGCTTCTTCGACATTGTCGTGTTGGCTGTGAAAGAAGGAGCGAGGACTGGAGGTGCTACGAGGGAGGAGGCAGAGGAAGGATAGAATAAAGGTGTATGTCACTGACTGTGACAAGGCTAATCTTCTGTCGGTTCATTTACTTACAATACAATATCATCAGATGGAGTTATTTACATTTTCTTACATCACCATCAGATGGAGCTAGTGGAGGAGAGCAAAGACCTTACAGCGTTTTTAATGCACAAAGGACTTTACCACTACAAGAGGGGTTGCTTTGGCCTAGCTTTGGCAGCAGCAGCCTTTCAAAAGATGCTGTCAACAGTGCTGAAGGGACGCCAAGGCACAGTCCGCTACCTTGATGATATTCTCGTCGCATGGGTATCACAAAAAAGTCAGTGATGAGAACTTGAAGCGAGTCCTATCACTTTTAGAAAAAAAGTAACTTGAGACTCAACAGACAAAAATGCACCTTTTCGGTCACGGAGTTGGGATACCTTAAACATCAATTATCCAAAGAAGGTATCAAACCAGTGGAAGGAACACTGGACGCTATCAGCAAGGCACCATCCCCTACAGATGCCAAGTCCCTACAGGCCTTCCTTGTACTGGTGTCTTTCGTTTCACACTATGACACAGTGGTTGATCTGCTCCGTGCCTTGCTGCTCAAAGGTGTTACTTTTTCGTGGGCTGCTGAGCAAGCACATGCATTCAAAGAGGTCAAGAACCTGACCAAGAACTGTACTAATCTAGCCATTTTCGATGCTGCACTCCAAACGATTGTAACAACAGATGCCTCCAGCTGTAGACTGGGAGCTGCCCTACAACAGAAGGTGTCAGAACGGTGGCGTTCACTTCAAGGACATTGTCTGGGCTGGAGCAAGGATACTCACTCGGAGAGCGAGAAGTGTTGGCTTGGGGGGGCCTTTGGGGTTGTAAATGGTGGACAACATTCCTGCTCGGAAGACACTTTATACTACATACGGATCACCAGGCCCCTGTAACATTACTTTCAACACAAGGATCCGGCAGGCAACCCATGCGCATCGCCCTTCTGGTTCGCAAGGCTACTACAGTTCAACTACGAAGTGCAGTACCAGCGGGGCGAACAGAATGTGATTGCGGATGCACTTTCAAGACTTCCAGTTGACACCAAACATGACGAGTCCAGCGATGCCGAGGACACCGAAATAATATGTGCTGTTCAAGCACACCTGCGAAGCATCACCTTGAATGATCTGCAGAAGGAAATGTTGCAAGGTGCAACACTGGAAAAGGTTGCTTATAGTATCAGTTCTTAAAAACGTTTTGAGTTGCAAGGAGAACCTACCTTGCTTCCCTTCTTTAAACTTTGCATAGGACTTTTAGTTGCTCAAGGCCTGGTTTTACGTAACCATAAGATCATACCACCGACCACACTTCATTGTCGGATCATGGACATAGCTCACGAATCTCATCCTGGGATTGTACAAACAAAACAGACCGGAAGATCACTATTGGTGGCCAAGAATGGATGCTAAGGTCAAAGACTACATCACTAGCTGCATGGTCTGCCAGTAACATGACAAGACTGCAAGAACAGCACCTGCTCCAATGCAACCAGTGCCTTACCCAACGGGAGCATGGAAGCAGATTGGAATCGACTTCATCGGGCCGTTTACAAATTTCCACAGTTACTGCAGACATGCCATCACCACTGTCGCTTAAGTTCAGCGAGTGGCCAGATGTTTAATTTTGCTTACACCCAATGACAGATTCTGTGTTAAGCTTCCTGCAGGGAATCTTTGGCAAGGAAGGTTACCCAGAAGTAGTACTAGTGTCCGACCATTGTTCACAGTTCATGTCTCTACAGCTCAAAAACTTTCTACAAGACAGAGGTATCATACACCTGAAGTCCTCTAGCAATTTCTGACTACTCTAGGTTCCATAAGTGATGAAGCAGTGGTTCCTTATGTTTGAATCCTCTGCATTGTGTTCCAGCGGATGCTCGTTCCTAAGCAAGTGCATCCATGCCTTAAGGGAAGGTGCACTGGCTGTCATCATTATGGACGACAACGCCAACAATGACGACCAGTACATTGACATGATGGACGACAGCACCCACAGAAACTGCAGTATCCCTGCCACCTTCCTGCTTGGAAGGGATGGGTTGGTCATGCTTTAGTCACTTTCTGAAGACGAGGATGGAGAAAAGTTTAAGAAATCAGATTAATTTTATTTGAATCACTTTTCTCAAAATAGTCACTGAAAATTTAGACAATGCATCCAAGCACATAAAACAATATGGAATGAATAATTCACTGTAAATTAAATTATGTCATAAAGTGCAATAATTTTAGAACTCTTCAATCTTGAGATGAACCATGCCATACTTATTGTTGGAACAAGGGCTGCTGAATATTTTTTATTTTGTGAACATTGTTTGCCATAATACGATGAGGATTGAAGCAATAAGTGCTGCATGTGTCATAAAGTAGTGATAGCACCAAACTATTGACATACTGATGCCACTGAGTTGCCCTATGTATTATTTCTTAGAAGCTTCCAGCAGAGTTATTTTTTGTCGGCTTCGTGCACATGGTACCTCTGGTCATTGTGTCAGCAACCGCCTGCAGACTAAGAACGAGCGGTCTGCCGCGCTGAAAGTGCATCACCCTAATACAAATCCATCTTTCTTAATGATTATGTATGCACTTGTAAAAATCAAATTATAGATACTGAGGCAGTACAAAACAAATTTTTGAGATTATCTTGTTTTGGAATGGTTCAACTTAAATCATTGTAAAATCAGTGCTTTAAAATTGTGATTTAAGTGAAAATTTAAGTTGGGATTGAAATTATCGTGATTTTTCTTTTTTCCACCCATGCAAAGGCATTTTTTCTCCCTTTTGTGTGAAACCAACTTCTCTTTTTCAGGTACATGATACGAAGAGGCCTTCAAACCCACGGTTTACAAAGAGCGATAATTAACATTCCTATCAATGTCAGCCAGATTCCAGTTCAAAAGCTGAAGAGGCCACCCTGGGTGGTCTGGTGACATAGTATGCGAGTACTGTGAACAATTTGATACCTTTGCGGGTGTTAGTGACTTTTCCTATAGCTAACTCCTTCTTTTTGGTCTGAGGAAGGGAGAGCTTCTTTCAGCATATTATTTCTCCGTACACCATTTTAGGTGTTTGCTTTTACTGAAAGGGTGATAGATTACACCTGATGTGGTGTTAGCTGTATAGGACCAGCCATTTACACCTCTAAAGGTTTAGAATACCTTAGCAGGACATCCTATGCTCTGTTTCACCTTATAATGCACTACAACAGATGCTACGAGTCGCCTAATTCCTTCTGTAGCTCAGAGCGGGTCATGTGACCTTCCGGTTGGGCAGAGCGAAGCTCGGAGCATGAAGCCACGTGGCATGTGTGGAGCTCTGGACTGGCTACCTTGGCTCATGGTGTTTGTTGCAAACATTGGTGAAGCGGAGTATAGCAAGCCTTCATGCTAATGCGCTGAACCTGCACAGATCACTTCAATAGTTGGCTCTCTACTTTGTGTTAAGTTTTGCTGTGAGCTTGGAATGATTTGCTAGAGGAGGGAAAGGACCTCATGAAAGTGGATGTTGATATGAATGCTTAAAATAAACCAAATGGGGCATGTTGTAAGTTTCACTGGTTTCTTTGCCACGTCATTTAGACCCTTTCGGTGAAAATCCCACTGGGTCATACTTGAGTTTCCCACATGGTGACCGCCAGTTCGGCCACTTTACAGACAATAGTCCCCTTTGACATAAGTTGCTAAGGGTCATTCGACGCCAAACGATCCTGGTCTAAATTCGACCCACACGGATTCGGTTTAAAAAAAAAAAAAATGTATGTGTTATTGGGATGTAAAAGTACCTTTCCAGAATATTTTTTGCTATAACCCTTTTTTTTTTTTCTTTAACGACACTTTGAATTTTGTGATAAAGAGGCCCGAAGGGGTAAAATTGAAAATTTCGTCTCAATAGGTTTCGTCACGCATTGCTGAGCATTTTTATGGGTGCAGATGCGTTAAAAATGTCCAAAAAAGCTTCTATTCACCTTTTCAAAATATCCTGCCATCATGTTAATAGTAAGGGAAATAAGGTACATAAAAATATATATAGGCAAGACTGTTTCCTAAAATAAATGGACAATATTGAACATTTAGCAAAATTCTTAGTTTTCATAGAAATAAAACTCATAAATGTGGTCGGTCTAAAATATATGCACTTGATGTTTATGGATAGTTAAGCCCGAACCACATAGGGCGTATTTGCGACGTATTTGTGGGCGTTTTGGCGGGCGTAATCCCGACGTACAGCGGGCGTCGGGACGAGCGCTTCCTCGATCGGCGTAAATACGCGCGTATTCGGCGATCCGACCAAGACAGATCTCGGCGCATCGGCGTATTTCGGCGTGGCGTATCCGGAAGCGCGCGCGGTGCCGGCCAATCAGCTCCCGAGTTGACAGCCAGAAGTTGCGCGAGAATCGGCTTGCCTAGCTATGCGGCCGGCTGTCTGGCTTGGCTCGGCCGCCGAAATGGGAGCTCACTTGTCGCGTTCGCCGGTTTATCGGCGATAAACAACTGAGAAAGAAGAAAATACTATCGATGTTGGGGGCGATGTGAAAAGAATCACAAAAGGAAGGGTTATGAGTAGGGGTGTCGCGAACCGGCCGCGGTTCGAGTTCGACCAGGTTCGACTTTTTCGAACTTTTAGTGGAAAGTTCCACGAACCTTCTATTGAGGTTCAACTCGTGTGCGCATGCGCGACAGGCTGGCCAGTTGGCTTCGGATTGGATGATAATGGCTAAGAGATGAATTAATTGCAGCGCTGATTGGCTATTTCAGTTAATACAGTACTAAAATTAAGTTATTAACTTCTTCAGTGATTAGAATTAGTTTCTTTTAATTGCAACTGTTCACAATATAAAATAACCCTTTGCATAAAATATTTTTTTTTCCAAACCTAGACATGCTTGTATCAAGGTCTGGCCACACTGTCCACAAAGTCGAACCGGTCGAATCTGGTGAAAAGGTCGAAGGTTCGTCGAACCGGTTCAACCCAGTCGAACCCCGAAAGTTCGACCAAAAAATCTGGTTCGACAAAAGTTCGCGACACCCCTAGTTATGACTCATGAGCAAAGATCGCGGCCGTCCTCCTGCCGGGATAAAGTGAACTAGAGGAGGGGTAGTGAGGTCAGAGCGCGCTGACGGCGGCCGCACTTCGTGTCGACGGCTCGAGAGGGCGCCGCGAATGCATAGGCTGGATGAAGCGGGTGGCCAGGGCGGCTCGCATCGCATTTGCTGCGCGACTAAATACTCTTTGTTGGAGCTTTTCGGCTCAAAATGTTTGCCGTTTTAGGTCCGAACCCCATAAAAGAAATACGCGACACAAAATTGACGCAATTCGTCTGGCCGTGTTCGCTTTAATGCGCGGGGTACGAAGCAGAAATGCGCGACGTGGAAGGCGAACACCGCCAGTTCAATTTCCTGGGTGGCGTTTCAAAACCAACTTGTTCGTGCAATTTTTATTTATTTATTATTTTTTTATGGCGGGTAGGTTTGTTAGGAGTCTCTCATTAGAAACAGGGTGAAGCTATTTAATGGTCAAGAAGTCTTTCACTCGCGCGCATAAATGGCTAGTTGTAATTTTGAATTTGGAATACATTTTAGCGCTCAAAAAACAGGGACAAAGAGGCGAGAAACATACAGCACAGTGCGCACTGTGCTGTATGTTTCTCGCCTCTTTGTCCCTGTTTTTTGAGCGCTAAAATGTATTCCAAATTCCAAAACCAACTAGCCCAGCAATCGACTCTACTGTAATTTTGAGACAGGAGCATAATGATGTTTCCTAGACATTTAAACAATCACAGCTCAAGCCTCAAGAATGGCATGAAATCGTTTTAACAGGGCATTCCTTTTATATCTAGTATTGAAATCGTGCATACCTTCCCCAAGGTTTAACCTCCTTTATTGATTCCCCATTATGTGTCTCGTTAAGCCAACTTCAAAGAAACCTGTTGGGTAAATACTGCTGGACAAAAAGAACTCGTGGGACGGCAAACCCTGTTATTTATACATGAATACACTTTTTATTAGTTCTCAACAAAAACACATGTAATACTGTAAACGACGTATTTTTCGCATGCTCAATATTTCGCGATTTAGGTCGAAGCTAATGTTTCGAAATAATTCACGGGTTCTAATTTTTGCAACGCGGTGGTATCTCACTATAGGCTCCAATGTGTTTACATTTTACCGGAATTATTCGCGGGACCCATTTTTCGTCGGCATGGCACCTCCACAGAGACGATAGGAGTCGACGTCTCGGAGAAGAACCTCCGCTTCCTCGGAGCAGACGACGCGTCCTCCTTCAGCCATGCTGCCACGAAGATGAACAGTGTATACAACACCAGGCATGCTGTCTCGTGAAAAAATCACTACTCTCTGGGATAAAACTTCATTGTCACACATTTTAAGTTTACAATACACGAAACCATTGAGGCTCGGAACTCGGTGACGGCTCCAGTACTCGCAGGGGACACGCAGCGTGGAGCATTTTTCAAGCATACAGGCTTCATCAAATGCCCCGACATTGGCTGCAGCCGGTGTGGTGATGCCAGTGCTGCTGCAGGCAGTTGGAAAGGCAGTGTGTGGCCTTTTTTTACCGTGAACTGCTGAAGCATCGGCGTTTTTTCGCTTTCTCGTGGGCCTTGGCTGCGACGCTTTCTTTGATCGGTAGCTCGGAGCATTCGGAAGCAACGTCGGCACAACGCCCGGCAAGAGCTGCGGCTTTCCACGCGGAATGCGCACCTCTTCATCCTTTATAATGTGAACGAAGTCTCGCGTTATAAACGATGGCTCGAAATGAAGCTCACACACCGAACACGTTTCGTCCAGGAGCTTATCCTGGCGATGCAAGTTCCGTTCCCAAACTTTTCTTTGCTCTTCCTCCTAAGGCACTGAGAACAGCGACGGCTGCTCACCTTTCTGCCACTGATAGCCCCTCTGGCACCCCGGAGCGAAGCAGTGGCGTTGCCGACGTCGATTTGGCATGGCACTTCAGTGGCCATAAACGACAGCACACACGGGTTACACGGGGTAAAGAGCGGTTCAGAATGGGGGCCACTTCGAGCTGCAAAAAACGCAAGCTAACTCTCCTTGCCCAGGGCCTTTGCAATGCTCGGAAGCGGTCGGATCCTACAGCCACTACGTCCGCAGCGCCACCGCGTACATCCGGGTCCTTTCCACGCGCGCCGTTTCACAGCAATGCATGGCGCGCCTCGGCGCCTGATCTCACTACCCCTCCTCTAGTTCACTTTAGCCGGGATAAGGCAACCGACAATGCAGTTGGATGGATGGATAAATTCGGTGAGCCCTTTGGATCGGGCGGTAGCTTACGCCACTTAGCCATTTTGTTTTACCATTTAAAGGGATTGTCCGGTCAAATTTTGTATTCGAGAAAACAATTGAATATGATTGTTATTGCCTCGAGAAGCATCGTACGTGCAATATCCGAATTTTATATGCCCATCTGCGTGAGTAATTGAATTTATACTGCTCATATCGCATTCTAGCGTAAACGCTGCTTTCGTTGGCAACATTGAAGCTCTGACGTCACAAAACACAAAGCGAGCATTTTTGTCTCGTTGTTTGCCTGCGAGTGAACGCTTCAGCGTGCTTCGTTTTTGTTGTTGTGCTCGACTTGTTTCGTGGTTGGGTGAGATTTTTGTTGCGCGGTTGGGTGCCACAACCACCGGGCAGCACATGCGAGCCAAGACATGACGTTCCACACTTTTCCGCGAGACGTGCAGTGACGAGCAAAGTGGATCGTCGTCGTGCGTAGGGACTGGGTTCCCGTCCAGATCGAGATCCTGCTTATGCAGCAATCATCTCACAGAAGAAAGCTACGAGCTGAGCTCTCAGCGGACAGAAGGCTTGTAAGCAGAGGTGTGATGCTGTGCCAACGATATTAAACTACGTCCACCCACTCCTCGCCCAACTCGAATCAGTCAATTTAGGTCTGTTCGATTCGCCTGAACTGGCTGAACTAGTTCGGCAGTGCAGGAACTGGTGCATTCGATTCAACCGTAAGTTGCACGACCGCTGCACTGGCGCGTTCGATTTATTCCAGTTCTGAACGAGTTCAGACCCAGTTCCTCAAAATCTTGCACCGGCTCCGGATTCTGTTCAGCGTCCGTGCAGAAGCAGACGGCGATAGCAGAACTGCTCGTCCGTTTCTGCTCGCGGTGCCATTTTTCGCAGCGCTTGCTCAAATGTCTGCGATGTTTAACAATAACGCCGGAACGGAGGTTGCATTTCCTCTCCTTTATGATAATAACGTACCCGCGGTGGACGCGGAATCGAGATCCTAACCGAGGGTGGGAATTTGCTTGATTATGATATTCTAAAAGCGTTTTAGGCACCTGCTCGCGTAGGTTTGGCTCCCTGTGGTGAGTGTTGAAATATTGGCTCACGTAAATTGTTTCTTTTTGATGCTATGTGGGGATCCACAGTGTTGATATTCTTACTCACAGACACGGGAAAGGTATTGCCCTCTTGATAGTCTCCGCCTTCAGTTGCTCTTGGATGCATATTGACGACTCCGATACATTGCAGAGGTCTGGGATTTAGTGCGTTGGCACTC